AGCGCCTTTTAAGTGTCCGCGGGCGCGCGGGATCCGCGGTAGTGGCGGAAACGGGCAGAAAAGGGCCTGTTGCGCCTTTCAGAGGGCGCTTTTAAAAGGTTGCCGGTGAAGGAGAGTTGATACTCTCCAGGCGCCATCCACAGTTATCTCTGGCAGATGTCCCTGAGGGGGTGTGTGAGAGAGAGTGAGAATGAGTGAGTGCGAGTGAGTGTCTGTCTGTCTGTCTGAGGGGGACTTGTGTCTCACTGCTCTAGGGTTCAGGGGCAAGATTTCATTTTTTTCCTTCACAGAACAAAAAAAATGAAGCCCTGTGTTTCAGTATCTGTGTAGGAGTTCACTTCACTTACTGTAGTATGCTTTACTTTGGGGTAAGCCAGAAACTTGTACAGGCAGCTGACACCATGTGGTGTAAACAAATCGGTGGGTTTTACTTCTCTGCTGATACTTCCCGTATCTGCTTGATGAGCTCTTACTTAAACTGCTTGTTTCTCCCTAGAAGCTAGAATTGATGCTGTGAGAGATTTATTGCTGAAAAAGATCCAGCAATTGGTCCCTGTTTTGCATCAGGCAAAGTAAGACTGATCCATCAGGCCATGTTTATGAATATGGAGTTAATTGATACGTCTGATTTTTCTTGGAGTGGATGTCAAAATGTGAACACCCTTCTGTCTGTGAAGATAGCTTCATTCTCGTGGGTTTTCTCTAAAGTCATCTATGAAGTTTGTGCCCTGAATGTCAGGAAATTGATATTTTTTGATAATTGATATACCTGTTTAAATTTTTGTATGCATTAGTTCATTTAATCTTCCCACAATGTGTCCAAAGCTCATATTAAGATTCTGTGTGTGTGCATGGAGGGAAGAGTGCTGTGTGGTGAAATAAGTTTAAATTGTGCTTGTAAAGGATTTTGAGTGTTCTGTGCTGATGATATATTATGTGTAACTGCTGAAGCATTAACTAGCGTAGAACCAAATTTAGAACTGGTGAAAATAAGGCCAATCTGTTGACTTCATTGGACTGGTAGAATTGTGATGGATGTCATTTGGATCCATCTTGTCTCAGGTATAGAAATGTGTCTTGAGTCAGTAGAATGATGTCTTCACCTTATCTCTGACAACACCTTGGATTTATTCTTGTCACTCTTATGCAAGAGTCGTTGTAGTTGCACAGCAAGGTAGCAGGCCCCACTTAATGAACAGGACAGGTTGTGCATCTGATACAGACAGCATCCTGACACATATGATAGCAAACAATATACTTAAGTAGAAGGAGCTGATAACCTTTTTTTAACAGATGTAGGATGGTTATAGTAAGATAGTTAAAATTTCTTCATCAGGAAACATAGTTTCTCTGTAAGGTGGCTTTTCTAGCGCCTTAAAAATGAAATGTAAACCATAAACTCTCAGCTAATGGAATAGCATATCTTGGTGTACTTTACTGAGCAATTCTGAAGTGCACTTATCTGAAGGTCTTTCCCAAATAGTTTCACAGAACTAACTCATCAGACAGGTTTTGACAGATCCATTTACAAGTGACAAGCATCTAAAATGAAGAAGAGCCCATTGGAGGAATTTTGTAAATATTTTGATTAACATCATTCAGTGTACCTTATTCATTGGCCAAACAGTGACTGCTGACAGAAGGGGTTGGTCTTGTTGGTTTAGTGACGTATTATTGTAAAGTGAAAGCTACTCTAGTGGGAGGGAGCTAATCGCATAACTGTATTTGCACACACAAGTCAATACATTGACTTACTTGCAGTATTGCCAGAAACTAGTAATGAAGTCATATGGAATTTCTCTTATCTGTACTTCCTGTAGTTACCCTTAAAGCTTGGTTTCTCGAGTAAGACCTCCAAACGAGTTGATATTTAATGCCCATGCCACCATTGATTTTGGACAATGATATGCTGTACAATTCTTTATGGCTTCACCCTTGCTTACAGATTTACCTCTTTGCCTGATTGGTATAGTCAATACTCCTTTACAGCATTAACAAAGTATATTTTCAGCCATGATTTGTTTAGATCTTTGTGTCTTGAGCTGAATAGTTTTTAGGCAAAGGCTATCAAAATAGTTTAGCAGATTCTTGAAGAATTGTCACTCTTTTTTGATAAATCTTTTAAAGACATTAAGTGACTAGATCAGTTAATAAAAAAAATCAGGTTTCTGCCTAGTAATTTGCCACCTTCTGTCAACAAAATATAAAACCAAATAAATCCAATTCTTTTGCCTAAAATATAGGTGGCTGCTACCATTTCATTATATGCTTTAGAGGATTATGCCTTGCTCAGCTACGATTCTCCAGGGATGTGAATATTCTGTATAGTATCTGTCAGCATATTGTAGAAGAGCTGCATGTATCTTGAATGGCACCTAATATTGCATTTTGGCAACTACATGAAACCCACTCTCTATCAGATAAGACTGGAGAATTTATTTCCATTCCCTGTTATTTCTTCAGTGTACTTTTAGTGAACCATCTATATTTTTTTCAAATCTGAACTATTACAACTTCCTGTTATCTTGACTGTCAAAATACTTACCCATTTTATAAGTGAAAGCAGAAAAACTAAGGAAAAATGCCAGCTATAATAGGAAAAACATATTCTGTGTAATGCAGCTTAAAATGTTTATATTTATAGCTCTGTATATCATGTAAATGTGGTGTTTTGTTCTGATTTGGTGCAAGAATATACCTATTGTTATTAAAACAAAGCAAACAAGAATATTGCTGTTTCTGGATTTTCTTTTTATGTTACCTACATTAAATAGTGATGTGTATATACTTTCTTGGTAGTGGTTTTATCTCTTATCTTGTACAACTGTGAATAAATGTAGCTTGACAATGCCTGTTTTTAATCATCTGAACATAGTATCTCTTAGAGAGTTGCTTTTTTCATTTGAATAGGTTGATAAAGATGCATTGGATAGCCAAGTCAAGGAGAGGAAAATTCAAGAAGCAGCTGAAAAAGCACGAAATGAAGAACTTGGTATATTCATAAATACTATGATATTTCTGTGAAAAGTTAAATGTAATTTACCATCTATTTCCTGCTTTCTTTTTCCCTTCGTGTATTTCAAACTGCCGTATTTATTTCCAAATGGAGGCTGTCTCTGAATCTTCCTATATAGTTCTATCTGTATAGATCTATCAGTCAAGATATATATATAAAAGCACATTTGTAGGCTTTTCTCTAAATTCAAGCATACAAACTGAATACTATAATATATAGTCCTATTTATTTTCATACATTTGCATAGGTGCAGTATGTATTCTCCTCAGTATTTGAAGATTTATATTAATATGATTAAACTGGTAAACGTTTCCCAGTAGGCTGAAATTTTCAGTGTTTCATTTTAATGGATGTTGACAAATACCATTGTTTAGAGACTTGAAGATATGGGAGTATTTTAAAAAAACTTTATTACATAATACTGTTATTTTCAGAATAGTAGTGGCAAATTTGTTTGATTGCTTTCTTGTAGAGTGAGCCCGTGTTCTGTCTGACCATTCTTCAGTAGAATATATGGATTCTATAGAATCCTCTAGAGACTGTTAGTGCTAGAAGCATAAGTCATGTACAACAGGCCTGTAAGTAGGAGCCATTACTGAGTCAGAACACATAGCCACACAAATAATTCAGCCATGTCCTCTGACCTCAAAGCCTTTTGTGACCCTCTGTGTTTGGAATGCTCTCCTGTGGTATTCTGTGAAAAGTTCCCGCAGGCTGAGCTCTCTGTGGGTTTCAAGAAGAGCTGGAATGGGGTTGTCACCTTCCATGCTGTGCTTCTGTGGTTGCTTGTGATTTTCCTGTTAAAATACCTGTCGGACTCTGACTCCTAGGAGACTGCCAGTAGCAACGTGTAGTCTGGCAGCAGAGGAAATTATCTTTTCCTGTGAATTATAGTTAAATTACTAGTTTTGGGTGGGGTTTTTTGTTGTTTGTTTGGTTTTCTTTAAAACTAAATCAGTTAGGGCATTTTAATTAAATTGGCAAGAGCTATTAAGCTCTTCAAAAACTGTTAGTGCCAGACAATTCTTCTAGTCAGAAAAATTGTTGGAACTATGAAACCACTCTCTATATTCCTTTCAGTGGGAGCCCAATTTTAATTTTTTTCTTAATAAGCAACTTAATGGATTTCAGCTATAACTGTAAACTAAAAGAAAATGGGAAGAAATAGTATACAGTACATTTCATGTGCTACTGCAAGTTTTAATCAAATGAAACCTCATAGTTCTAGAAGTATTTATTGTCTTTGTTTCGCATGCATTTATTTCATTGTAACATTAATAAGATAATTGATTCCTAAAAAGCTGAAAGTATTTTATAAGTAAATATTACTAACATTAATGTCTGCTGGGCTGGTACACATAGATCAAATACCCTTTCCTAAAGTATAAAAGTTTGAAGACTTATATTCTATTTATTCCTCTTCAAAATTTTATTTTCCATCTTACTTGTGCACTTCCATGACATGTGCACTTCTAAAAGTTGTATTTTTATTGTGTTCACTTTTCTCTAGCTAATGAAATGAAGCAAAATGACAAGATCGTGTGTATGTTAGAAGAACGACAGAAAAATGATATCAGAAATATAAATAAGGCTATCAGTGAATTTCAGAAGAATTTTCAGAAGCCAGAAACAAGACGTGAATTTGACCTGTCTGATCCACAAGCCCTAAAGAAGGATAGACCTGCTCGACTTTCAGACAGTGATCCTCGATGTACTGTGTCTGGCTTGCAGAAGTTTATGGGTGAAGACTTAAACTATGATCAGAGGATGAAGTTTCAGAAGGAGCAGTTAAGAGAGTGGTCTCTTCAGCAGCAGAGAGACTGGAAGAACGCATTAGCTGACCAAAAATTTTCAGGTAGCGAAAGAAGATAATAAGGTTTTATCTGCTTTTTCTGAAGTTCTGATGTATCTGACAAAAATATGGTATAGCCTATTGTGTCAGTTTGACATAGCAGTATTTTAGTATATTCAGTATTTACCTTTTAGAAATACAGCAGCAGTTTTTTATTTTATAAGTTCTAATGTATTCAATATCTCACTTAAGAATCTATATTTAATAACGTGTAATATTACCTAAGTTTCATTTCTGTTTTATGCCTCAAATGAAGTATCAGAGCATTCTGAAAAACTGTTTTGCATGTTAGATTATATATTTACTTCATCAGACCAAATTGTCCAATCTTTACTGTTGTAGAGCAGACAAAAAATACTGTTTCTTCTTTTCTAGCTTGTCATTAAGTATTTTTTGTGCAGTACTTAACATACTCTTTCATTTTAACTTTGTCTAACTGTTAAGGCAAGATGGGTTACATAATAAACTGATTTCATCAGTTACCTGAAATTCCAAGATGGAAATCTTCTGTGGTAGGATTTGGAAATAATTATGTAATTCATCTTACTGTATCTGTAGCTCCTCTGTCTGTCTGTCTCTCTGTGTCTTACAGTGGCTTACTCATATGACACATCAAGTCCATGAATGTTGACTAAGTTTCATTTTAATCTAATTTAGATTATCTTTATGACAAGAATAGAGTTGAACTTGACCAAATGACTATGGAGCAGCAACGAAAAGAAGAAGAAAACAGGCGTGCTGTTTGTGCAGCTACTAAAGATTTCAATAGAACCCAGGTAAATTAATGTTGAGTTTGTTCCTTTTTAAAAAAGTGGAGACACAGAAGGAAAATAAGATGCACAAAAGTAAAATGAGTAATGACTTTTACACAAAGGTTTCTTGGCAGCTAGCTTCCAAGGTTATTTCAGTAATTGGAAAATAGAATTTATTCACTTTGTCCTCCCCAAGGAGCTAGCTATCCTCTGCCTAGTTACCCTCTGTCAAAATTCTCCCTCCTGGTTCTCAGCATGCTGACTAGAGGACAGCAACAACTCCACAGTCTCTCAGGGACTTTTTAGTCTGTAAACGGGTACAGCAAAAGCCTCCCATGCTTCCTTCTGGTTTTAGAACAGTTGTCAGGTAATCTTAGCTGTGTCTGCCTGCTTTTCTTTTTGCTTGTGTGGGAACATCACTACCAGTAGCTTTTTGTCTTTATTACTTATGTTAGTTGCTCACAACCACTGTTTTTAGCACTTTGGCTTCTTCCTTGGTATTTGCATACATGTCTTTTGGTTGTTTACCAAGCATGCTTTGGAACCTATTGGAACATGAGGTGAACCTTTCTCTGTCTGTTTTAGTACCATTATCTATTGTGTTCCAGTTCTTTATCTTACTGCACCAATTTTTTGGTTTTGTTTGTTTTTTCTGTTCAGCTTATACTGCTCAAAGGGCTATGTGGAGACTATTAGTTTGTTTAAGCTAGCTTAAAATGTATTTAGTCACATCAAAATAAGCCACGTTAAATTTACCTACGTCAAGTATGGTATCTTTTGGTTTAAGTATATATGTGTGCAAATCCTTGTGTAAGTGTTGCTTGAGCCTTTCAGGGCGTGTTTGGCATATAATTTTGTTTATGGATAGCCCAAGGCAATTGAAAAGGCTTTTTTTGCTTGAAGTCACAGCTGCTGAACAGTATTTTACATGTATAGCCACAAAAGTACCTGAAGTGGCTGGTACAGTTAGGGTAGCAGTAGTACCCCAAATAATTGTTGTCATACCAATTGATTTCACATAAAAACTCAGGAATTTGTGACAGGGTTTCAGGATGGAGTCGGGCAGGAGGTTTGTGTTTAGTGTGTTCTTTTGCAGTGTCATTAATCATTGCATAGTAGTGCTACATGGATGGCTGTGCACAGAGCTGGGAGTTTCCTCCAGTAAAATTCCCAGGCAGCTCAGAAATTTTAAGTTTTCCCTCTTACTGAGAAGGGTAGGGTTACAAGGTCTAAGTGCCTTTTTTGGATCTGTTGCTAGATCACAGTGGACTGACATTAATAAAGTGATCTAAATAAAAATTACACAGTTTAAACTTCAAGGCCAGTAGTTATGTGAGGTCCATCCAAAATGACTTTCTGTTAAATGTGATTTATTCTGGAGCATTTTCAGAATTGCAAAGCATTGCTTGATTCGTGTGGGACAGGATTTGGATGGTCTCAGTAAA